TCTGTCTTTCTGGGAAGCGCATGCACCCTATAAAAAAAACCTAAAAAAAAAAAAAAAAAAGTCTTCTAAAAACAGGTTTGACTAGGTAACAAGATATTCATTTCCTTTGTTAATATGATTTGTGTTGTTAGAATTGATATTAATTCATTTGCAAATTTCATTATTGGAAAAGGTACATTTAGCTTTACTGTTTCCTGAAAGATGCTTACAAAATTCTGTTTCCAGAGTTATCTAAGCATGGCTTTTACTTCTTAGAATCCAACCAAAGTTAAAATTCTGATCCATAGGTAACAATGCTTAATTGGAAAATGTAGCCAAAATATAAAGAAAGTACCTCTGAAAACATTCTGACCATATTTATCAGAAAGCTCCCAAAGCATTCAGTCCTCACTTAAGTCAAGTATATTTTTTCCAGCTTCATCTATGAATACTGCAGAAGTTGATACTATTCATTTTACAAACTTTGAAGTGTTGATGCCAAAGCAGCCTAAGGAAAGGATGTGGTAGCCATGGCTTCTCAGCTTCTCCACTAGCCACGCATGCCCCTGCTACGGTTGTGGAATCCCTGAGGCTGATCGTGACCAAGGAGATATTGCTGGCAGAAATACTGTCCTCATCATAGAACTAGCCATCAACAGAAAACAGGTTTCTTGAGAAATTCCCACTCTCGCTGTACAATAGAATCATCAAAATTCTTTCCTAGATTCTCAAAATAAATCTTTTCCCACAGACCATGTTGCTTGGACTAAGGATAGGAATGCAAACAGATATGAAACATCAGGGGCCCCAGGCCACTAAAACACTAAGCACTATGTTTTCCCCAATTGGAGAAGGACCAGGATCCACAGACATAGGTCATCGAGGTCTAGAGTAGAAGTCAATCAAAAGGACTGGCTTTGGGATGTCCATCCAGGAACCAGTTGAATTTAACTAGAAATAATTTTAACCCACAGTCATTATTCTCCATTTATCATCAAAAATATTGTAAGTTCCTTGGGAGCAGCAGTTAGCTTAATGGTTATATCACTGGACTCCCATGTAGTCGACTGCGGTTCACGTCCTGGACCCGGTGGCTTAAAACTCATGCCGGACGCGTGTGCGTGCATGCCCAAGATCCCAAGAGGAGAATGGAGAAGAAGGGATTGCGGCGTGGCCATCCCCCCTGGGGGGGGGCGTGATTTCTCGCTCTCTGTCTCTCTGTCTCTCTGTCTTTCTGGCGAGCGCATGCGCCCTATAGCAAAAACATCTCAAAAAAAAATTATAAGTTCCAGGAATCATATACATTACTAACTGATATAGAATTAAGCAAATTCAAATGCCAAAGTGTTCAAGCTCTTGCCATGTAATGCTGTGGCATTATTAACAAAGCAGGTGGAGGGGTTAAGTTCAATTAGTTAAACCTATTATGTCCTAGGAACTTAGGAACTCGAGTTACAAATGTAGGGACTATTGACATGGAAAGTTTAGGGTTATAAAAACTGGTTTGAGAAAGCATTAAAGATGTATCTTGAAGCAGATCCTTTTCAAATGGCATTGAAATGTTGCATATGCATCTTAAAGGAATTATAAGAGCTCAGAAATCATTAAAATTAAACATATCAATCTTCTGAAAATATCTCTTAACTCAAATATATGAAAAGATGATTCTAGACCCTGGGCGCATATTCAAAGAAAGATTTTTCTGGGGTTCTTCCCATCAAACATTTAATAAAAATTCAGTAATATACTTTTTCAACTCACTTTCCATTTCCTGTAAGCTTGTAGCAAATGAGAACTCTATTAAAATCTGCACTCGAAATTGTACTTAAACTTTAAGAGGTTGGGAGATTTACTGCTTTCTCTAAAGTTTGAGAGAGGTTCAGGTTTGAATTTCAGGGACAACCCAAGTGGAAATTAATGTTTAGAGTTTCAAAGTCCTCAGTCCCTGATCTCATATCTAGAAACATCTAGAAACAATGGTTTTATGACTTTCTGTAGTGCCACCTTCATTTGTCAACTTACAGAAACTTTGGAAGTTTCTGCTCCATTCACATCCAAAAGAACTTCATATACTTAAAACTGGAAAAAAAACAAACAAACAAGCAACAAACAAACAAACAAACAAAAAACTCTATTGCAATAGATTAAGGTGCTTCTGGAGATCTGAGGCAATGTAAACGGTTATTATTTATTTGAAAAATATGAGTAAAAAATCAAGTAGAACTAATACAGGGAGCAGAAGGAAGTCAAGAGCTGAGTTATTTTGCTGATTCCTCCCCAGGAATCATTTGCCCTCACACCTTGCTATTACTCAGAGAGAGTACTTCATCTTACTATCCTTTATTTGAAAAAA